TTGCATTGAAAAGGAAGTTAACAACGTTGTGGGTTGTGCAGTGATCCAGGGAACATTAGACAAGTTTGTAATCAGTGACCATGCCACTGCATTGTGCCGGATGTACCACTCCGGTGACAGATGAGGACACTAAAATAAATATTAATATGAATCAATACTGTTAAACAATTTATATTTATGCTACAAAAGTCTGTAATGCACTTTCATATGTTATGTTTGTTGCAGTTTATATATGAGATTTTAAAATCTGTATCCTTGCATCTTTACCTTAAAAGGTTATATAGCTCCACTAACTCACACTTTGTGTAAAGTTGTAACATGCTGTACAGTATTAATAATTGCCTTGAATAAAAACACCAGCTAAATAATTGGATAATAAAATGATTAATAGCCTGTTGCTCAGTTAGAATGTTAGTATGGTTTTGTTCCATGTTGAGTATGTTTAAAGTCTAAATAATTTAATTATGGTAAATGAGATGTTTCTCAATTGAATAAAAAAAGCTAGTTTAAAATATAACAATCAATTTCATCCATTCTTTGCAATTCCACCTGTAAGAATCAAATGCTTATAAGAATCAAATCATCCAGGACGGATGTGATTCTTCTAAAAGGAGTGCATGTGTGAGGGGTTGGACCCCCGGGAGTGTCACCTGGTGTGCTGGGACACCACTGAGTGAGACTATTCTGCCAGCCTGGGCTCCCTTTTAGCTGGTCTTGCTGGGCTAGGCTCCCCAGCCTTTTCCAGCCAAGCACACAGGCAGGGCCACACCCAGCTGCACAGAGAGACAAAAATCCGCTCTGAAAAGGCTCAGCTTAAGGGCTTGCCACAGCACCCAGATGTCCAGCCCCCTCCCCTCCCCCGCCTTGGAGTACAAACCCAAAATTATATGAAATTCACCTCTTCTCTCAATGTGGAAGAGGGTATACACAACTTCTCGCCCCCCACTTAGAAATCACAAACTGGGTTATATTGTAAACCAGAAATAAATTTATTAACTATAACAAGTGTATTTTAAGTAGTTAAGGAGATAGTAATCTGCCTCGTTCTGTCTGCTAAGAAAATAAAACAGAGCACGCAAACTAAGCTTAATACACTAAAGAAAGTGGTTGCATGTAAGTTCTCACCCTATGGTTCTAATAATCTTCTTCACAGGTCAGACACCCTTCCAGCCTGGGTCCAGTTGTAATCGTGCCTCAGTGGGTCACAAATGAGGATACCAAAATCAGGACGAACTGCTGAGAAATAGGGCAGATACACCCCAAGACTGGTGGCTAATCACCTATAGGATATACCAAACCAGCAACAAAAGTAAACTTCTGTTTCACCACACTGGCTAACAAGAAAACAAAGGCAGTTTCCTCAGGCATTCCAGTTCTTATATCACCACCAAAAACAGTGGATTCAGAGATGAGTGGTTCTTTACAACCAGTCTCATCAAATAATTGGTTCTTCTTAAAAAAACTTAGATCTTACCCAAAAGTCACGCTGATGCCAATCCTTTAGTATCTAAAATCTGAAGGTTTATTCATAAAAAGAAAGAAAGGTGAGAGTTAAAATTGGTTAAAGGAATCAGTTACATACAGTAATGGCAAAGTTCTTGGTTCAGGTTTGTAACAGTGATGGAATAAACCGCTGGCTTAAGTCAAGTATCTGGAGTACATCCACAGCTTGGATGGGTCATTCAGTCCTTTGTTCAGAGCTTTGGTTTTTAGCAAAGTTCCTCGAGAGGTCAGAAGCAGGATTGAAGACAAAATGGAGAAGATGCAGCTGCCTTTTATAGTCTTTTGCCATGTGGCTTGTGCTTCCTTTGTTTCACACAAAAACTGCCCAGCAGTGGCCTGGAAGCCTTTTCTGGCCATAGGCATACCTATGCATGCCTTGCTGAGTCATAAGGTGTATCCTCTGACTTCTCTCAATGGGTCAATTGTATAGCTGATGGTCCTTAATAGGCCCATCTAAAAGGAGTGCATTGTGTGAGGGATTGGATCCCTAGGCTAGGCAGAGCTGATGCCCAAACTGTCTGGGGATGTCACCCAGAAGCATAGCACAAGTTTTGTAATACAGACATAGATACATATGTATAACCCAAAATACAAATGTGATACAAACACATACATGAGATTATTGTATTTAGCAAACTATAACATTTTTGCAGATATCTTACGTGGCATATCTGGCACAACTCATTGCAGTTTTACAATATTCATAATATCCTCAAGTGTCTCCCAGAATCCATACAGCGTCACACACCCCACACAAAACTGATGCAGAAAGGGGTGTCCCTAGACACTGCTGAATGCCTCACAAGAATTTTCCATTCTAGGACCTATATTACTGCACTTTCAGTTTACATCACAAGTATTAGTGTACAACAGAAATAGTTTATCAAAATCATGTCTGACTAAATCAGGCTCTTTATATACAGCTACCTTCATTTTCTGAAAGTATTCTCTCTCTGTTACATCAATATAGACATTAATGCTCTCAAGGGTATAATTACTTTGGCATTTAGCCACGACAGCAATGTGGTAGTGTGCCTCAGTTTCCTTCTCTATACAGCAGACTACATTTATAAAGGTTTCTCTGCATTGCCAAGTTTCACAATTGCTTACAGGTATCGGTTGTAACATTTCACTATCCTAAAGCTCTCTAGCATACAATGTGATTTTAGGTATTATTCCCAAATGTTTCCAGGCTCTGTATCAGTCATACACTTTGATCTTTTTACCAGGGTTGACATCAAAATCAAATACATTAGAAGGTTAAACCTTAACAGTAACACCAAATTTGTTACAAGTCAGTGTTTGTAAGTATCTTGGTCATACCATGCCTCTTGTCTCACTGAATCCCTCGGCTGGCCAGGTGTGTCCTCATTGCTACCAACTATGGAGCAAATCTTCCCCCTCCCTTGTTTCCGGTATAGGGTGGTATTTATGTGACCATCGCTTATTAGCACAGTAGTGTCCAGGAAATGGACCGCTTGTGTGGATTGATCTAGGCTGACATCTTCATCATCTGGACCCATGGAAAAGAAGCCCTTGAGGAATTTCACCATGATTTCAATAATTTCCATCCCACCATCAAC